ACGCGTAATCGGTGTAGATACATCGAAAAAAAAAAAAAAAAAAAAAAAAAAAAAAAAAAAAAAAAAAATATATATATATATATATATATATATATTATATACCAATCTAATCGATAACCTCCTTACTTTTGAAGTCGTTTAATAAAAGTAGAATACCACTGGTACGGTATATGATGAACTAACTGGCATTCGCGTTTCAACAGTTACCAACCAGAGGCGTCGTCGGCTCTGCTGTGCGACGCCGGGACGCAAAGCTCCCACAGGAAACACCATGCTGCAGGCCGGGTGTCATCGAGCAGGTAGGTTTATGAAACAATATGAACGTTTAAATAATTCGTTCACGATCTATATAATAAACCGTTGTATAAATAACTTGTAGAAATATCGATACCGATAATGAAGATAAAATAAAATCGTAGACATCGTAGAGATCATCGATAGATTAACAATAATGGTATATGGTATAATATAATATCCCGAACGTCTCATGTGTAATATTTTATAAAAAAAAAAAAAATAACATACGGTGCGCTCTTTAAGTGAACGTTCTTTCTTAAGGCGCGTTGATAGAAAACCACTGAAATCATAATCGTTCTTTACTACGATTAAACAAGCGCAATAAATGAATATATAATAATAATAATAATAATGAGAGCAGAATTTAATATATATATATATATATATATACTATATACTATAAATATAACAACAATGAATATGTATTATTATAAATATATAATAATCATATATATATATATATATATATATATATATATATATATATATATATATTTTGTTATATACATAACACGTACAATATAATAATAATAATAATAATAATAAGAAAAAGAAGAAAAAAAAAAAAAAAAAAAAAAAAAAAAAAAAACGAGGCGGCTTCCACAGCGTGCGGAGACACATTCGCGCGATCGTACATACACATGGACCGAGCAGATTCGGTGCCGTCTGAGGATCCGTAATGAAACACAAGCACACCGTAAAGTGTGAAAACTCTTATATACGGTGTGTTGTGTGTTCTTCTTCCTCATGTTCAACTGTGACGAACGACATCTCCGTACTTCTAGATAGATTAATACGGGAAGAGAGGAGGTGTACGATGTGAAAGCGTTCGTTTATATTTTGTGGGCCGTTCGGCACGCGAGTCGACTTCGTCGTCGTCGTTAACGGTTTCCCAGAATAAAACATGCCTGTACTCCGTTCAGGCGGAGCACTGTGGTGTTATGATATAATATATCGCGGATATATTCGACGATCTCTCCAACACCGAGCAGATGTCGTCGTTCAATTTATATTACGAATGTAATAACGAATCAAATATATTTAAGTGAAGCATTTTATAAAGTCTCGCTGTTGAACGTTCAATGAATTGTTCGCCATGGGCGAACTTTTAACCGGTTGTGTTGTGTCCAAGCGCGCGCGCGCGCGCGTTCGACGATGATGCGGTGTGGTGTGTCTCTCCTGACTGTGTATTACATAGTTGTTGGGATATATTATTACGCGTTATATATAGTTCGCGCGCGGCAAACGCGGGACCAACACTAATCGCACATACAAATAATACGGCACCGATGCGTCTTAGCGTTAACATAACGCTTTCGCGTCGAGTTGCTAGTGTCTCGGAGTGAGACGCGCCCGTGATGCGTAAAACGTGTCGCGTAGGCGAATACGTGTTAGCTCCCTGGTTGATCCTGCCAGTAGTTATATGCTTGTCTCAAAGATTAAGCCATGCATGTCTCAGTGCAAGCCGTATTAAGGCGATACCGCGAATGGCTCAATATATCAGTTTTGGTTCCTTAGATCTTACCTCGGTTACTTGGATAACTGTGGTAATTCTAGAGCTAATACATGCAATCAGAACTCTGACCAGTGATGGGATGAGTGCTTTTATTAGATCAAAACCAATCGACGGAGGGCCTCGCGTCCGAAGTCGTTAATTTTGATGAATCTGGATAACTTTTGCCGATCGCATGGTCCAGCACCGGCGACGCATCTTTCAAATGTCTGCCTTATCAAACTTTCGATGGTAGTTTCTGCGACTACCATGGTTGTCACGGGTAACGGGGAATCAGGGTTCGATTCCGGAGAGGGAGCCTGAGAAACGGCTACCACATCCAAGGAAGGCAGCAGGCGCGCAAATTACCCACTCCCGGCACGGGGAGGTAGTGACGAAAAATAACGATACGGGACTCTTACGAGGCCTCGTAATCGGAATGAGTACACTTTAAATATTTTAACGAGGAACAATTGGAGGGCAAGTCTGGTGCCAGCAGCCGCGGTAACTCCAGCTCCAATAGCGTATACTAAAATTGTTGCGGTTAAAAAGCTCGTAGTTGCATTTGTGCGCCGCGCTGCCGGTGCACCGCATCCGCGGTGATACTGACACGTCTGCGGAGCATATCGTCGGTGAGCCGTCGGTAAAACGGCGGTTCAATATCAAAATCCTATCGCGGTGCTCTTCGGTGAGTGTCGAGATGGGCCGACAATTTTACTTTGAACAAATTAGAGTGCTCAAAGCGGGGGGCTCAAAATGCTGCTTGAATATTTCGTGCATGGAATAATAGAATATGATCTCGGTTCTATTTTGTTGGTTTTCAGAACTCCGAGGTAATGATTAATAGGGATAACTGGGGGCATTCGTATTGCGACGTTAGAGGTGAAATTCTTGGATCGTCGCAAGACGAACATCAGCGAAAGCATTTGCCAAAGGTGTTTTCATCAATCAAGAACGAAAGTTAGAGGTTCGAAGGCGATTAGATACCGCCCTAGTTCCTAACCGTAAATATGTCATCTAGCGATCCGCCGACGTTACTACGATGGCTCGGCGGGCAGCTTCCGGGAAACCAAAGATTTTGGACTCCGGGGGGAGTATGGTTGCAAAGCTGAAACTTAAAGGAATTGACGGAAGGGCACCACCAGGAGTGGAGCCTGCGGCTTAATTTGACTCAACACGGGAAATCTCACCAGGCCCGGACACCGGAAGGATTGACAGATTAACAGCTCTTTCTTGATTCGGTGGGTGGTGGTGCATGGCCGTTCTTAGTTGGTGGAGCGATTTGTCTGGTTAATTCCGGTAACGAACGAGACTCTAGCCTGCTAAATAGGCGTCGTCATTTAGGTGTGCGCGACTTCGGTCACGCAACTCACTGGCGACGTATTAAAATTCTTCTTAGAGGGACCGGCGGCTTCGAGCCGCACGAGATTGAGCAATAACAGGTCTGTGATGCCCTTAGATGTCCTGGGCCGCACGCGCGCTACACTGAAGGAATCAGCATGTTCTCCCTGGCCTAGAGGCCCGGGCAACCCGTTGAAACTCCTTCGTGCTGGGGATTGGGGTTTGCAATTATCCCCCATAAACGAGGAATTCCTAGTAAGCGCGAGTCATAAGCTCGCGTTGATTACGTCCCTGCCCTTTGTACACACCGCCCGTCGCTACTACCGATTGAATGATTTAGTGAGGTCTTCGGACCGACACGCGGTGGCTTCACGGCCGTCGGCGTTGCTGGGAAGTTGACCAAACTTGATCATTTAGAGGAAGTAAAAGTCGTAACAAGGTTTCCGTAGGGGAACCTGCGGAAGGATCATTAACGTAACACCCCCCGTTTACGTGTGTAGTGTTAATACACTTACGCGTAACGTTAGAGGGTTAACGATAACAATAATAATCCAAACAATTTTTATAAACCGACGTGTGATAAGTGTGTCGTGTACACACTATTGTACGTCGAGCGCCCGCGCTCTCTCGAATGATACGGTTCTCCCTGGTCGCGGGGAGAACGGAACGCAGACCGGCAAGAATCCGCGCCGCGAGTTTCGGTTCCGTATCGCGGTTCGGGAGGATATAACGCGAGCGCTATATAAAACGAAAACTATTGCGGTTTTAGAATGTGGCGAGCGTCGATACACCAATCGAACGGTTCGCTTATTTCTAAAGATAATATTTGAACTTAATTTTTATTAAGTTTTACCGATCGATATCTAAAAACGATTACCCTGGACGGTGGATCACTTGGCTCGCGGTCGATGAAGAACGCAGTTAACTGCGCGTCATAGTGTGAACTGCAGGACACATTTGAACATCGACATTTCGAACGCACATTGCGGTCCGTGGAGAAATATCCAGGACCACTCCTGTCTGAGGGCCGGCTGTTAAAAAACATACCACACTGTTTTTTCTAACGGTTGCATATATTATTATCCTATATGCGACCGCGCGTAAACAATTGACGGTTTCCTTTTTGACGTGTAACGCGATCGTCGATCGATATCGTTGGCACCGCGTGATCGCTACCGATGCTGCGATGCGTCGGCGGTTTTTGACCGCGTGCTGAAGTTTCGATCGCTTTCAAGTTTAACCGTCGAACGGCGGATCCGTTCAAATATTTATATACGATGTATACGTGCAATGAACAAAACGAAGCGCATACTAGAGACCGTCCCTTCGGGGTGCGTCGCGACTCTTCGACGTGAAAAATCGACAGAGGGCGCGTGCATCGTGTCTGCTCGTTTGCTCACATTCGGGGGTTCGTAAGCGCGTGTATCATGTATTATAAAGTAGGCGGACTCGACGTCCGAAGAGCGCTTCGACGACTGCGACGCCGTCTCGGCCCGTGTTGAAATATATGCGGGACGATGACGTTTCTGGCGTCGTCCGGTCGTCGTTGCGCCGACGGATATCGTGTCTGCCTCGATTTTTATCGTTGGCCTCAGATCAGGGAGGATCACCCGCCGAATTTAAGCATATTAGTAAGCGGAGGAAAAGAAACTAACAAGGCATTTCCTTAGTAGCGGCGAGCGAACAGGAATGAGCCCAGCACTGAATCCCGCGGTCGTCTCGAACGCGGGAGATGTGGTGTTCGGGAGGTTCCGCTTTCTCGTCGTCGATACTCCTGTCCAAGTTCGTCTTGAACGGGGCCGTTTTCCCGCAGAGGGTGCCAGGCCCGTAGCGACGGAGGGCGGCGGCGAGAGGGACACTCCTAAGAGTCGGGTTGCTTGAGAGTGCAGCCCTAAGTGGGTGGTAAACTCATCTAAGGCTAAATATTACCGCGAGACCGATAGCGAACAAGTACCGTGAGGGAAAGTTGAAAAGAACTTTGAAGAGAGAGTTCAAGAGTACGTGAAACCGTTCAGGGGTAAACCTGCGAAACTCGAATGAACGAACGGAGAGATTCATCGTCATTCCGCGGCGTACGCATTCGCGCTCTGATGGCGTCCGTCCCTTAATCGGATCGCGGGCATCACGGGCCGGAGGCGTCGACGTCCGCGGACGGCGTGCACTTCTCTCTCAGTAATACATCGCGACCCGTTCGACGTCGGCCTAAGCGCCGTTCGGGAGTCCAGTCGTTCCTTCAAAACGGACGATTGGACCGTGACGGTGGCCGACCGGCCGTCGGACGGTAGAAGACATGAATCGCGCACGCGCACCTAGCGCGTCCGGCCCGACGCAAGACAACGTCGTCATCGAGGTCCTGCCGTTGTGCGGACATCGGTGCGGCGCGTCTGTTGTCGCAGCCGTGCTGTCTCGGACCGTGCGCGTCTCAGTCGGCGATGATTCAGTTTCGGGCACTCGCAGGACCCGTCTTGAAACACGGACCAAGGAGTCTAGCATGTGTGCGAGTCATTGAGTTTTGTATAAACTGAAAGGCGCAACGAAAGTGAAGGCGCGCGCTAGTCGCGCGCTCAGGGAGGATGGAGCGTCGGTCTAGATCGGCCTCTCGCACTCCCGAGGCGTCTCGTTTCCAATCCGTGAATGCAGGCGCGCTCTGAGCAGAGATAGC